AAATAGCGCAAAGCATTTGCATAAAGCACATCTGATCGGCAATCTTGATTTTGCCTTGTGATTGCTCTTTTGGCGAAGGTTAAAAAGATTACTTTTTAGATCAACTACCATGTTGAACTGACCGCTTCTTTGCTTTTCAAAGTTATCCATGAATTACATCTTGTGTTTAACCCTTTAACTCCCATGAGTGACCAAGACAGAATTTCTCCTTACATATATCAATAAATATCTACCAGATGAGTGATGAGAATAAAGAAAAATATCAATTTGGGGATAATTAAATGATCCAATACTAAGTTCTCTGAACTAACATTATAAGAAATGTATGGTCGATAGTAAGGAGAATTACAAATTTGATGTGGGAGTTAAAAGGTTTAACGGTATTTTCTCGATACAGTTATGTGTTTACTTGTCACTATAGAGTCTAGTCTTTCTTAGTGGAATACTATTTTCCAGTACACAGCCAAAATTTTACGAAATAATGCTGGCCCAATGAAACATTTGACTTGGAAGTAAATGCTACTTTTCGTAGAATACGTACGTGACTTGAAGGAGATATTATCGGCCATTAGAGGAGATATGAGGTTACAGGGGGGTCATCACGTAAGTTTTAAATAACGTAGGGGGGGTCACTTGACATCTAAATGTCCCGGAAGGGAAAGGGGCTTGTAAAAAGTTCAATCTTTCCAACAGATACTTCCTGCACGGTCATTAAGAGCGACCGAACCTGGGTCCATATCGGCTATAGTAATGGTGTTTCTCCCGATAACCAGAAAAGCATGAACAACTTCTTGGAATACTTCAGCAGTATTCATGCTTACGACGCCATCTAAACTGAACACTTCTTGACACTGATGCTGCTGAGGGGAAATCCAAGTCAACATTCGAGCCTTTGTGCTCGCACGTGTCAAGATTGCATAGGCCAGATTATCACACCCGTCTTTTCTTAAAGTAGAATGTTCAGGCTATTTTATTGTTAATATACCACGTTTCACAGGTGAACACAGCTTTGAATGATTTTTTTTTTCGTCGTTTGAAATTGATCTCACGTTTGGGATCGCAGCTGTGGCTCGTCAATATAAAAATAACAAATCCACGGACTGGCAAGTATTTCATTGAGCAGACAGTCAAACCAACCATTACGGGATTGTTTAAAATGTTTCTTTGTCGATACATTTACCCAGTTCGCAAATGAAAGTTTCTACTACTTTCGTGTTTGTTACTGTCAGGAGGAAATCGAGTTCTCAAAGATAACTGTAGTATGCAGCGCCCCCATATTGTTCTAGTTGCAAAGTGAAGACTATTTTCTTTTTTGCTGTAAATTTCCTGAGAATTGATATTTTTGAAATTTGTTGATTGTTTTCCGTTCCCGTGTCCTTTGGAAAATCGTTTATTTGATGTTCGGTCCTCAAGACAGACAAGTTGAAAATGTTTACAACAAGATACAAGAAGGCTGGGTGGAGCCAGAAAAGTTACCTGTCTTCTAGCTTCTGTTTCTCATTGAAAGTGTTGTACATTCGCTCTTCGCTTTTGTGGATTTTTTACAGATCTTTATGCTTATGTCACATCTTTTTATACCTTTCAAGGAACTGCTGAGAAATGAGCCTACGTATTTTTTTTACTTATCAGCTGATAAAATTTTCTAAACGGGTACAAACTAATTTTTAACACCCAAGACCGTCGAAATGCCTCAAGCTCTAAGGATCCAGAAATCAAGTTCACAAAGGTATGTTAAACCTTTAAAAATTTTCGTATGAGTGTAGTTTTTGCAAGTAACAGCTTGATCGAGTATTCGATCCAAACGTTCGAATTGCCATGCATATCATTCATGGAACTCAACTTATATTAAATCTGGAAGCTTTATTCTTCACAAATAGAGAAAGAGAATCTCATATTCATTGGTTTTTTTTTCTGTATGTTTTGAAAGATAAGGCAAACAGTAGTGGATAAAAAGCCGCAAAAAGTTCTGTCAACCCTCAACAAATAATTCTCAACAGACATGTACTTTCATGTAGGGTATGTGTTCTTAAGAACGTAATTCAAATCTAGCCTGCCTGATTATGTTAAGATTCAGCGGCGCGGATAGTCGGCGCTACGTTCAGGTCGCTGTCCACTATTAAAGGTGTGAGTTCAATCTTCTCATCTTAATTTGAGGTTTTACATAAATGCGTCAATTCGTAGCCTCAACATCCCCCCTGAAGGAACTACGGGCATTTGAACTTTTGAAGATCGCTTTGTTCAAATTCCCTCCACCCGCGGGGCCAAAATTGTGTTCAAGTGCTCCACCCAAGGGCCAGATTTGATGGTCCATTTTTTACGAAAAGAGAGATTAGCGACGGTGACTTTCTACTCATTAACTAAGCTTTAGAACCTAAATTGTTGACCTTTTCATCTGAGCCATTCGCTCGTGAAAATGACCTCTCAGCCTTGAAACACCTCCATATTAAAGAGATAAAACAGCTGGAAAGACTTTAAACTTTTGGTTCAAGCTCCCCTCCCCGGCCAGGCAAGGCTCGAATTCCCCACTCCTTGGGCCCGGACGACAGTCAAATTCCCGTAGGTTGCTGAGGGGAGGAGGTTGGGTGGGGATGTTGACGCTTTAACTTAATTGACATATTACATCAAATCTGGTGAAAAGGCGGATAAAAATGACTTAATTTTGAACAACATTTAACTGCAAGAAAAACTCACCATTAGCTGTTATTACAATTTGTGAGATATCTTTACTGATCAGGGTTTTTAAAGCAGCTGGGTCTTGTCGGACAATACTTTCTAACACGTCAATCATGAACGCTACATCCATGGCAACAGGGCATTGTAAACGAAGAGAAAAAAAATATGAGAGATATGTAAGCTTAGAATTTCAATGTTAAGCGAACTCAGCAATGATTAAACGGAGGATTCAGTTGAGGCCTGGAGCCTCTGTATTTCTATTTTTTACAGCAAACTTTCGCTGATCTACGGCATCGTCAGGGAATGTAAAGAAAATATTTCACTTTGCGCAATATAAAAGCGATGTAAGTGATACCATAACGGATTTTTTTTTTCGAGGTGAAACAAATGAAAGCATAAAGTTGTAACATTCTCTGCTTTGGTCCTACTGGGTATGATAGCGACGAGGCCAGCTTAAGGGAGAGTATGGAGTGAGAGATCAGCGTTTCAAAATGTAAGAAAAATCACAACCAAAAGCACTCTTGCGCAACTAAACGAAGCCGGGCAAACTTTAAAATGCTCGTGTGTAAACAGTCAGATGTAACTGACAGAAATGTGCTGTACGTTATGGGCCAATCTTATCAATCAAGCCCTCGACAAGCATAATTAGTGCTCTATTATGGACGAGTAATAAAATACCTGTCAGTTTCAGAATTCACGAGCGATTTAGGCATATCTGGAACGTGTCTCGAAGATTTGACGTTCAATACGGCCTACAATAGGACATGGGATCATGAGATTGGTTAAAAAAAGATGATAACGGCAGCTTCAAACGGCTTTATAATATGATGTTTCGTTCCTACTCGAATTCTTTGACAGTGATGTCAGTATTATCCATAGAGCTTAAATGTACTCAGCTGACCGGAAAAGGAAGAGAATAATAAGTGAAAACCTTATTCAGCTTTGCTACAATAAACAAGACAAGCAGATGATGGGCGAATCTTAGATTTCGTGTTTTTATGATGCAAATGATCAAATGAGAGCAGTGTAATCAACGAGAGAGAAAAAAAGACGATTAAATAGATAATTTTCCCAAACGCATTGATTTGATGAGTGATATTTGTTATTACTCCGTCTCTTAGTAGAGGAAATGAAATTGAAAACTGACGACCTCGTTTCGTTGGTAAAAATAAAATGAAAGAGTGTTTTGGTCTTTACTTA